AGGAGACAGAGACCATCCCGGCTAACATGGTGAAACCCCATCTCTACTAAAAATACAAAAAATTAGTCAGGCGTGGTTGTGGGTGCCTATAGTCCCAGCTACTCAGGAGGCTGAGGCAGGAGGATTGCTTGAACCCAGGAGGTAGAGGTTGCAGTGAGCCGAGATTGTGCTACTGCACTCCAGCCTGGGCGACAGAGCAAGACCCCATCTCAAAAAAAAAAAAAAAAGAAAAGAAAAGAAAAAAAAGAAAGTAGTTTTTATCTCATGGACCCCCTGGAATGTTCTTGCAACCCTTAGGGGTTCCCAGACCACACTTTGAGAACCCCTGCTCCAAAAGTGCTATTTCCAGTTAAACAGATTCACTTGTATTTTTCTCAAACACAAAATGAGAGGGAGAAGAATTTTGAACAACTTTTTTTGTTTTTTTTTTTAGACAGAGTCTGTCACTACATCACTCAGGCTGGAGTGCAGTGACATGATCTCAGCTCACTGCAGCCTCTGCCTCCCAGGTTCAAGCGATCCTCCCACCTCAGTCTTCTGAGTAGCTGGGACGACAAGTACATGCCATCAGGCCCCGCTAATAATTTGAGTAGAGGCAGGGTTTCACCATGTTGTCCAGGCTGATCTTGAACTCCTGGCCTCCTGTGATCTGCCCGCCTCGGTCTCCCAAAGTGCTGGGATTACAGCTGTGAGCCACTGAGCCCAGGCTTGAACATTTTATGTGCTCTTTCTTCCAGCTTTTTCCATTGGAACCTTAGCAACAGTGTCTTGGTGAGTCACAGGCTCATCTCTGCCTAAGAAGAGATATAATTCCAGGAGAAATGCCCAGGGCAGGACTCAGCAGGACATGTTGGGGCTCCTGATGTCCCTGCCTGGCTTGTCCCTGTTAGATCTTCTGAGCACAGGGGTTAGGGTTCATGGTCTATCTTTTTTTTTTTTCTTTTTAAGACAAGGTCTTACTCTGCCTCCCAGGCTGGAGTGCAGTGGCTCAGTCATGGTTCACTGCAGCCTCAAGCCATCCTCCCATCTCGGCCTCCTGAGTAGCTGAGATTATAGGCGCCTGCCACCATGACCAGCTAAGTTTTGTGTTTTTGGTAGAGACAGGGTTTCACCATGTTGGCCAGGCTGATCTCGAACTCCTGGCCTCAAGTGATCTGCCTGCCTCGGCCTCCCAAAGTGCTGGGATTACAGGTGTGAGCCACCACACACAACCTAACATATGAATTTCATTTTATTATTTTTTGAGACAGTCTTGCTCTGTTGCGCAGGCTGGAGTTCAGTGGTGTGATCTTAGCTCACTGCAATCTCTGCCTCCTTGGTTCAAGCAATTCTCCTGGGTTCAAGCAATTCTCAGCCTCCTGAGTAGCTGGGATTACAGCCATGCACCACCACACCGGGCTAATTTTTGTATTTTTAGTAGAGACGGGGTTTCACTGTGTTGGCCAGGCTGGTCTCAAACTCCTGACCTCAAGCAATCCACCTACCTCGGCCTCCTGGAGGGATGTGATTACACTCCACCCAGGCTCCAACATAGGAATTTTAAAGAGACAAAATTCAGCCCCTATACCTGTGGATTCTCCTATAAACCAAACACCCTCCTGAGCAGTCCCTTCCACATTCCAGCATGCCGCCCTGTACTGTCCCATGGTGAGAATAAGATCTTCATCCCAGTAACACTCAGGGCCAGGCACTGTTCCAACACACACCCCTCTTTTTTTTTTTTTTTTTTTTTTTTAGATGGAGTCTTGTGTTGCCCAGCCTGGAGTGCAGTGGCATGATCTTGGCTACTGCAACCTCCACTTCCCAGGTTAAAGCGATTCTCCTGCCTCAGTCTCCCGAAGTAGCTGTGACTACAAGCACGTGCCACCATGCTTGGCTAATTTTTTGTATTTTCAGTAGACACAAGATTTCACCGTGTTAGCCAGGATAGTCTAGATCTCCTGACCTCGTGATCCACCCACCTCAGCCTCCCAACATTCTGGGATTGCAGACGTGAGCCACCATGCCCGACCCACACCTCCTCTTAAATCCTCATAATCTCAATATAAACTGGGGTCACAGAGCCATGAAGAGACACAATGACTTCCTTGGTTATTGGGTGAGTGTAAAAAACTAAGCCGATGGCACTGAAACTGTGAGAAAATAGATTTCTGTTATCTAAGTCACCCACCCTGTGACACTGTTGAAAAATCAGTCTCCAGTGATCTGGGTCCAGAACCTAACTCTTTTGGCACTTACAGCGCCTTTGTGGGAAGTAGGAAAGACCCTGCTCTGCACTGGCCATTGCCAAAAGCACCTCTTCAGCCCCTCAAATGACTAAACACAGGGTAACCATATGCCCGGGGATTCCTCTCCTGAAAGTGTCTACCCAAGAGAAATGAAAACATATGTCTACACAGAGCATATTCATCATGTGTCTGTGTTCACAGAATATTCATGATAGCCAAAAAGTGGAAACAACCCAAATGTCCATCAACTGATCAATGAATAAAGAAAATTTGGTTTATCTGTTCCATGGAGCATTGCTCAGCCATAAAAGGAATGGAGGCTGGGCGCAGTGGCTCACGCCTGTAATCCCAGCACTTTAGGAGGCTGAGGTGGGCAGCTCACCTGAGGTCAGGAGTTTGGCTAACATGGTGAGACCCTGTCTCTACTAAAAATACAAAATTAGCCAGGTGTGGTGGTGGGCACCTGTTAGCTACTTAGGAGGCTGAGGCAGAAGAACTTCAAGAACTCCTTGAATTCCTTGAAAACTCCTCATGTTTCCAGTGTGTGTGGCATGTGTCATCCGATCTTCTATTCCATTCATTCATTCATTCATTCATTCATTCATACATTCATTCATTCAGAGATGGAGTCTCGCTCCAACACCCAGGCTGCAGTGCAGTGGCATGATCTCTTCTCACTGCAACCTCCGCCTCCTGGGTACATGCGATTTTCCTGCCTCACCCTCCCGAGTAGCTGGGATTATAGGCATGCGCCACCATGCCCAGCCTAAATTGGAGATTCAAATGTCAAAAATGACACATTAGGCTGGGTGTGGTGGCTCACACCTGTAATCTCAGCACTCTGAGAGGCCGAGGTGGATGGATGACCTGAGGTCAGTGTTAGTTGGCCACAACTAGAAATTTCAACATTATACATGTGGTTCAGATTTGAGGCTGGCATTCTATTTCTGTTGGACAACACTGCTTGGGAGAGAAGAGTCACATGACATCCATTCGTGGGTCAGGAAGGTGGGAAGAGGAAAAAGTCGGGAAAATAGGAGTAAGTAGTTTGCTCAGTTGTTGTGGTAACCTTGCAATTAAAGTCTCCTTAAATGTAAAAAAAAATTAAAAAAAAAAACAAAACCTCAAACACACACAAAAATAAGGGGGTGGGCCCGGTGGCCAAAACAAAAACAAAGCATGGGGTGTTTTGGTTTCCTATTTATTTGTTTGTTAACAGATGCTTTTGGCTGGGCACGGTGGCTCATGCCTGTAATCCCAGCACTTTGAGAAGCCAAGGCAGGTGGATCACCTGAGATTAGGAGTTTGAGACCAGCCTGGTCAGCATGGTGAACACCCATCTCTACTAAAAATGCAAAACTAGCCCGGCATGGTGGTGAATGCCTGTAGTCCTGGCTATCGGAGCTGAGGCAGGAGAATGGCTTGAACCCGGGTATCGGAGGTTGCAGTGAGCTGAGGTTGCAGTGAGCACACCATTGCACTACAGCCTGGGTGACAGAGCAAGACTCCATCTCAAAAACAAACAAAATCATATGCCTTTATAATGGTAGGTTCTCAATAAATAGCTTAGCCATCTTTCACGGAGCAACAGCTGTGGGCCAGCCTCTCTTCTAAATGCTTTCCTGGATTAGTTCCTTTAATCTCCATGAGAACGGTTTGAGGCCAGGCATGGTGGCTCACCCCTGTAATCCCAGCACTTTTGGAGGCGAGTGGATTCCTTGAGGTCAGGACTTCAAGATCAGTCTGGGCAAGATGGTGAAATCCTGTCTTTACAAAAAATATAAAAATTTGCCAGATGTGGTGGCATATGCCTGTAATCCCGGCTACTTGGGAGGCCTGTAATCCTAGCTACTCAGGAGGCCGAGGCAGGAGAATCTCTTGAACCGGGGAGGCAGAGATTGCAGTGAACCAAGATTGTGCCGTTGCACTCCAGCCTGGATTATACAGCAAGACTCCATCTCAAAACAAAAACAAAACCAAAAACAAAACAACCCTTTGAGGTAGGGATGATGCAGCAGGCCTACAGAGCCAGATTCATGTAGAGTAGGGGACAGCCTCATGGTCGACAAGGGACAGAGAAGCACATGCATGCTTACAGTAGCTGTGACTGACGTTCACACGCCCCAGTCTGCTGTCCCAGTCAAAGGAAATGCTTTCTTGCAAAATTCATGGCTGGTCTCACTCATGGTCATTCATATGCTGAAAGCGTGTGCAGAACCACGGGACTCATTGTGTATGCTTAGTTCAGAATACAGGAACATGCTTGGGAGTGAGGGCCAGTCCCACTGAGTGGGGCCTGTACCCCGCAAGTGAGGGCCATATACCCCAAATGCTGTCTGTTGCTCACAGATGGGGCCTAGGCCCCCCTATTTAATACTGAGACTCTTATACTGTGAATAAGGCCAGTGTCCCGAGTGAGTCCTAGTCCCACGGTGCGAGGCCAGTGCCTCTTGATTTAGGCCTATGTAATCCCGAATTCCACCTCTCCACTGGAAGGGGGAACTGTAACCCCCAGTGAAGCTCGTACCCTTTGGAAGGAGGCCTCTGGCCCCTGAATGAGATCGGGTCTCCTTGAGTGATTTCTGGCCCTCTTTGGTTTCGGCCTTGCTTTTTGCTGATGAACAAGCGGTGCTTCCAGGCCCCCATCCTTCTCCCATCGGGACCTTTAAGAGAAGCGTCTCAGGCCACAGCGACGCAGACCCCAGCTCCAGGCTGCACTGTTGCCATGGAGACGGTTGGGGGGGACCGGGGAGAGCGTGTGGCTCCGTCTGCGCAGGCGCAGCCCCGAGCAGCCGCGTCGCAGCGGAACTGCTGAGATTCAGGCCGAGGGTGCGCGCTCAGACGCGGCGGGAGCAGCAGGCAAGCGGCGGCTCCCACCTCCCACGCCCCTCCAGGTGCACTCGGCGCCGCCCCCCTGCACCTGGCCGCGTTGCCCAGGCACTCAGGCCTGTGTCAGAAAAAGAGGGAGGGAGCTGCCCTGGAAAGCAGAAACGTAAGCCCCCCTGCGGATCCTCGGACAGCTCTGGGGAGGGGTCCCGGGGAAGGTCACTGCGTCCAGCCGACCAGCAGGCAGCTAGGGCCCCCGGGCCCCGAGCCCCACTCCAGCCTTGCCACATTCACCGGAACCGGGACTCTAAGCCCTGCGGGTGGCTTTCCAGGGTGGCATTGACGCTGTGCGCTGCAGCCCACCCCATCTCAGGCTCCCTCCTGCCCCAAGATCAGCGTCCAGTGGGCCGCACCATGGCCATGAGCCTTCTGCAGGACTGGTGCCGGGGCCTGGACGTGGACGCGCACAGGGCCCTGCTGGTCACCGGCATCCCGGAGGGCCTGGAGCAGGCGCACGTCGAAGCCGCCCTGCAGCCCTCCCTCCTGCCCCTGGGCACGTTCAGACTGCGACGCATGAAGGCCTTGACGAACGAGAAGGCCCAGGCTGCCCTGGTGGAGTTTGTGGAGGACGTCAATCACGCCGCCATTCCCAGGGAGATCCCGGGCAAGGATGGGGTCTGGAGGGTTCTGTGGAAGGACCGTGCGCAGGACACGAGGGTCCTGAAGCAGATGAGACGCCTGCTGCTGGATGACGGGCCTGCGCAGGCCGCGGTGGCTGGGACCCCGGGGGAGGCGCCCACCCTTCCCGCTTCGGAGACCCAGGCCCAGGATTCTGGGGAGGTGACAGGGCAGGCTGGCTCGCCTCTTGGGGCAGCCAAGAACACAAGGAGAGGCCGGCGGGGTCGCAGAAACAGAACCAGACGCAACAGGTTGACTCAGAAGGGCAAGAAGAGAAGCCGAGGAGGGCGGCCATCAGCTTCCGCGAGGAGTGAGGCCGAGGACTCTTCCGACGACAGCCTGGGCATCGTGATCGAGGAGATCGACAAGGGCGACCTGAGCGGAGACGAGGACCAGAGCGCGCTGTACGCCACGCTCCAGGCGGCCGCCAGGGAGCTGGTTAGGCAGTGGGCGCCCTGCAGCTCCGAGGGGGAAGAAGACGGTCCCCGCGAGTTCTTGGCTCTGGTCACTGTCACCGATAAAGCCAAGAAAGAAGAGGCAGAGAAGGAGCCAGCTGGGGCCGAATCCATCCCCTTGAACACCAAAGAAGGCAAAAGCTGCATCCCCGACTTAGTGGCCCTGCTGGCTGTGAGAGACACCCCGGAGGAGGAGCCGGTAGACAGCGACGCCTCGGAGAGCGACTCGCAGGAAAGTGAGGACCAAGAAACAGAGGGGTTGGACAATCCTGAGTTCGTGGCCATTGTGGCCTATACCGACCCGTCGGACCCCTGGGCCCGGGAGGAGATGTTGAAAATCGCTTCTGTGATCGAGTCGCTGGGCTGGAGCGACAAGAAAGACAAGCAAGACGCGCTGCGACAGGTCCTGTCCGTCATGTCCAAGGACACTTGCGGGACCCGCGTGAAGGTGGAGGAGGCGGGCCGTGAGGTGGACGCGGTGGTCCTGCGCAAGGCCGGAGACGACGGGGACCTCCGGGAGTGCATTTCCACCTTGGCGCAGCTGGATCTCCCTCCCCAGGTGAAGAAGGCTGGGCGTGGCCTCTTCGGGGGCTGGGGCGAGGACGGTGAGGATGAGGGGGGCCTTCTGGAGCTGGTGGCGCTCCTGGCTGCGCAGGATATGGCGGAGGTGATGAAGGAAGAAAAAGAAAACGCCTGGGAAGGCGGGAAGTACAAATACCCCAAAGGCAAACTGGGGGAGGTATTGGCGCTCCTGGCCGCCAGGGAAAACCTGGGGTCCAACGAGGGTTCGGAGGAGGCTTCGGACGAACAGTCCGAGGAAGAGTCGGAGGACACGGAGAGCGAGGCGTCGGAGCCCGAGGACAGGGCATCCACGAAGCCCCGGGCCAAGAGGGCTCGCACCGCCCCCCGGGGCCTGACTCCGGCCGGCGCGCCACCCACCGCGTCCGGGGCCCGCAAAACGCGCGGGGACGGCAGAGGCCGAGGCCGGGGCGTCACTCCCGAGAAGAAAGCCGGGAGCCGGGGCTCAGCTCTGGACGACGCCGCGGGAAGCAGGAAGAAAAAGGGGAGCACGGGCGCTGGTGCACACGTCAAGGCTGGCGAGGCCAAGGGCCAGGCTTCCACTGGCTCCAAGGCCGCTCGCGGGAAGAAGGCCCGTCGGGGCCGTAGGCTGCCCCCTAAATGCCGCTAGCGGCCCCCCGGGCTGTGAGCCGGCCCAGCAGGGCGCCCGAGTGTGCCCCCCCCCGCCCTCCCTCTCCCTACCCTCTTCCCTCCCTCCGCAGGCGCGACCTCCTCGCTTCACCCGGCGCCCGGGCCGCGTTTGCCGGTGTCACGTTCCCCTCTCGGGCCCTCACGGGCCTGGGGCACCAGCGATCCCGACGGAGGAAGCCCAGATGGATGGAGGAAAGAGACGTACTCTCGAAGCAGCGGCGAGGGGCCGAGATGGGCACCAGGGTTGAGGGGCCTGGGTCGCCCCTGGCGGGGGTGTGGGTGGACACCGGGCATCTGCGGAGGCGAGCAGGGCTCTTTACCGAGCCCGAGCCTGGCAGGGACTGCCGGTCGCTGTCTCCCCCTCCCCAGTCTGACTCGGCCCAGGGTCTGTGATGGAGGTTTGGTCACCAGCTGAGCAGCGCGTGTCAGGGCGCAGCTCCCAGCCAGAGGAGGCCCCAGCTCCTACCCAGGAGAGGAGATTATTCCAGCAAGGAAAAGTCAGAGAGACTGACGGGGGATGGGAAGGGGAGGAGGAGAAAAGGGGAGAGGAACGGTGGGGGAAGGGAAGGAGGAGGAGGAAGAGCAGAGGGAAGACACAGACACACAGCAGCTCTGCCCACCGGCGGCCCTGATACAAAGGAGCCAGCCCCAGGCCGAGGCCACCTGCCGCTGACCACAAGCTGAATTTGTCACTTAGACTGCAGTGTTTCCCAACATTCTAATTATTTGCCGACATGTTCCATTTGGGGAAATTCACATAAAATCCAGAGTCTTGGTTCCTCTGGGCTGTGGCCCTGCCCCCCCCCCCATTGGTTATGGCTCCCGTGGGTCCCCACTCTCCCATGGAGCTGACCCACCGCTCAGCGCTGGCCTTGCAGCCCTAAAGACCTTGAAAGTCCCTAGGTTCACCCCCTGAGTGAATTAAAAGCCAGAGGGGTCCCTGAAGGACGCGGTGAGGGGCAGAGGCTCACCTAGGCAGTGCAGAAGCTGGCAATGTGTCCCTCCTTACAGGGGATGAAAAGACCTGGGAGGAAATCCCAACCCTGCCAGGGAGGTTTCCGAGTAGGCAGGGCCGGGGCTCTCCAGCTTCAGCACCTGCTGTCCCAAGTGCAGACGCTTCAGCTGTGTGTGATTCTGTGCTGTGCCGTTCGCTTCAGCTCCCCCAACCCCTGCTGAGCTTGATATTTCCCTAGATATCGGTCTCCACAGGACCCCTTGTTCGTTCCTGCCTTCCTGTCCCTGAGGCAATGTGTGTGCTTCCTCGTCCCAATTTCTATACCCTGGCAGTATAGGGAGCTCGACGTGCAAGGAGGCCCTGCCCTGCTTGTCTCTGGGAAAAAACGGGGGGGCCTGGATGCGGCCTCGAAGCCTGGACTGGACTGTCAGGGACACCCAGATGCAGAAGCCAACTGGGAGCTGCTGCAGGGCTTGGGTGATCCTCCCTGCAGAGGCTGCCCCGGACAGTGACCCACCCACCAAGGAGCAGGCTGGGTGTGCGGAGGGCTGGGTACAGCAGCCTGCAGTGTTGCTGTGGGTGGGGAGGGCCCTAGGTGTGCTTCTCCCGTGTGATTCTAAGCTTCTCTCCCTGTGCACCATAGCAGTTCTAGGCTTCTCTCCCTGTGCGCTGTGTCACCTGGATCCTCCAGTAAAGTGAAATTCAGCATTGTGCTCTCTCAGTGCTCTGGGCGATGGGGCAGGGGGAGTGTGGAGCGCGGGCCGCACATGTCCACAGTCTTGACAGTGGCTCGCCCAGAACACCTGGGAACTGCCCTGTCACTGGTTTACACACACTGTCCTTTGTTGCTTCAAGGGTTGTGCACCCTTCCTGGCCCTCCCTACCCCCCAACATCATCTCACCCCTTGCAGATCTGGGCTTCCACCCCCACCCTTGACACCTCCCCGCTTCCAGCCTTTGCCCTCAGTCTCAGCTCTGAGGCCCTTGGACACCCATGGAGACCCTAAGTTGCCTCCGGAGTTCCCCTGTGGCCCTAACCCTGCCCGGCCAATCCCCACCCTAGCTTCCACCCAGATACACTGCCAGGTTGCAGCTGCATTCACCCACCCCCCAGCCTCCACCCCTAGCCTCTGCCCTGGACCTCAGTCTCAGCCTTCCATCCTACCTGGGTTTTCTGCCTCCCTCCATCCCGTGTCCCCCCACCATACATGGCTGCCAGAGGCATCCTCTCAGAAGTCACACCTGGGGTCTGATTGCATTCCTTCCCTTCCCCAAATACCCCAAGGGCTCCTTCATGTGCCATGACAGCTGCAGTTCTTATGACTGTCTAGACATGCTTTGTCCAACTAAATCATGGGGGTGCACTGGATTTACATGTAATTAAGATTAAATAAAATTATACATCCATTTCCTCAGTCTTCCCAGCCACGTCACAAGTGCTCAAGAGCCACACGTGGCCAGCGGCTACCACACTGCTCAGAGCTGGTGCAGGACATCACCACCATCGCAGGCAGCAATCTTGCACAGCTCAGGTCTACACACTGCCCCCATCTCACCGTCTGCCTCGTCTCCCACTGCCCTCTCTGTGTCTTTCGTGGCTTCAGCCACCCAGGTCTCCAGGATACATAAGGCATATTTCTGCCTCAGGGCATTTGCTCTGCTCTTTCTTTGCACTGGAGTGCCCTTCCCCAGGCTGTGGGCATGGCTCTGACCTGGACGGTCATTTGGACCTCTCTTCAAATGTCACATTCCCAGGGAGAGCTTCCCCGACCACCTACAAAAATGTAACCCTTGGGCCAGGTGTGGTGGCTCACACCTGTAATCCCAGCACTTTGGGAGGCTGAGGTGGGTGGATCACAAGGTTAGGAGTTCAAGACCAGCCTGGCCAAGATGGTGAAACCCCGTCTCTACTAAAAATACAAAAATTAGCTGAGCGTGGTGGCTGGCACACCTGTAGTCTCAGCTACTCAGGAGGCTGAGGCAGGAGAATCGCTTGAACCCGGGAGGCGGAGGTTGCAGTGAGCCGAGATCTTGACGCTGCACTGCAGCTGGGGCAACACAGCCAGACTCCATCTCAAAAAAAAAAAAGTAACGCTTTCTGCACTTCCTGCTTTTATTTTTCAGAGTGACTACTGCCCCCTGATGCAGTCATTTCTCAGTAGCGCACCTGCTGTACCTGTCAGGGAGGTTAAAAGAGGAAATTGGTGACTGGGGTATTGCAATCAGAAGGTGCAAAAACAGGGAGGTCGGTTGGTCCCGATATTAGCAATGCAGGGAGACGCTCCCTCCCGAGGGCTGGGGGAGCCGCGTGGGAAATGCTGCTGCCCAGAGCCCGGGTATACGGCTGCCAAGTTCCACGCACCGGACTGGCTTGCCTGAGGAGGGACCCGGGAGCCCCTAGCTGCTGCCGCCACCACGGCCCGAGCATTCCTCAGAAGGCGTCCCCTTCCTCCTGCTTTCCAACTCCCCCCAGCACCCTGTGGGGTCGCAGCAGCATCAGCCGCTTCAGGGGACCCCGAGAGGTTGCTGTGGGGACCCACGCGGCATGGGAACAGGTGGGCGTGGCGGGGAAAGGCGCCGCAGAGCGGCTCAGGGCCAGCTCTGTAGGGAGAAAGTGTAGCCTGGCATGTCCCCTTCTTGTCCCCTGACCCAGCACGGTGCCTGGCACGCGGCGGCTGCTGTTATTTGTGGAATGACTGGCGGTCGGAATGAACCACGGGGACCGGGGGAGTCAGACCCCAGATATGTCTCGTGGCGAATGTGCTGGAAAAAAACATTCTTTTCATTCCCTGGCTCCTGGAGGGAGTGCGCCGAGCGGGTGGGGAGGAGCGTTTGGGGTGGAAGGAGCAGCAGCCTAAAGGCCTTGAGGTCCCGCCGGGAAGGGTCCCGGGCGCAGAGACCAGCACAAGCGGCAGCAGCTGGGTCTGTCCCGCGTGGAGCCTCTGGGGGCGGGTGGAACGGAGCGCAGCTGCCCCCTCCTGGAAGAGAAGGCGACAGTCTGGGAGGAGCCTGCAGCGCAGTTTGAGGAATCCAGATTTATCCGGGACCGACGCGTCCCAGGCCCTGTTCTAGATGCAGGAAACAGGACCCTCCCTCAGGGAGCATGCGGTGGGGAGGCTGCATTGAGCTCCCTTGATGAGGACGAAATCCATGCATTAAGGAGTGAGACCTGCCGGGGACAAAAGTCCAGCAGGCAGGGGCCCGAGGAGGGCCGGGGCAGGAGAGGGTATAAACCAGGTGGCCTGGGAAGCCCTCACTGAGAAAGTGACAAGTGTAGGTGCGCGATCACGGCTCACTGCAGCCTCGAACCCCTGGGCTCAAGCGATACTCCACCTCAGCCTCCCTCTTAGTAGCTGGGACCACAGGCGCACGCCGCCAACCCTCGCTACTTTTATATTTTTTTGTAGAGACGGGGTCTCTCAATGCTGCAAAGACCCAAAGGAGGGGAGGGGGTGCGGTCAGCGGATGCCTGGGGGAAGCGCATGATGGGGACAGGAAGAGCCAGGGCAAAAGCCCCAAGCCAGGGATGTGACTATATGGGCTTATTAATGTGTAATTACTGCCCCTCCCAAGTCAGGCTAAACGCTGCTGCAGCGGAGGCACAATGACGCCAAAGAAGGCCTCCTGCCTCCATGGTGGTCGCTGTCTGGCTGGATTTTCACGTGAGGCAGCAAACGCGTGTGAAGAGGTTGCTGGGGTGGGGATGGGGAGGTGTGCAAACTGGCAGGGCCTTTGGGCCCCATTAAGCGCTGGGGAACCACGGGAGGGGTTTGAGCAGGAGGTGGGGAGAGGTTTGTGTTTTAGGTCGGCGGGGTGCAGGGTGCAAGGCTGGAGCAGGAGGAGGCCGAGGCAGGAACCTGGGAGAGCGGACTAAGGCCGGCCCGCCGCAGGGTGGTGGGGTTGGCCTGCAGTGGGCGCAGGGGTTTGCAGGAGCCTGATTTGAGCTGTGCAGGTGACTGGCGGGCTGAGGTTGTGTGCGTGTGTTTGTGTCTCTGTGTGCATCTGCGGGTGAGCACATTCGAGTGTATATGTCTGTGCGTCTTTATTTGGCTTTGTAGAGAGGAGGGCAGGAGGAAGGAGGGAAGAGGATGAAGGCAGATTTTCACCCCCATTTCCCAGATAGAGAAACCGAGGCTCAGAGAGGCAAGGAAGGGAGCTGGAACCCAGGTTTGTTTTACTCTAGGGCCCCCTCCGATAATTGGCCTCCCCGGCCCCAGGGGAGGGACGGAATGATCCTCCTTCGAGAGTGAGGCTGAGGCATCCCGGGGTCCAGCCCCTTCCTCTCCCCTTTCCTCCCCCAGCCCACCTCCCCACCGCGAGGTATACCTGGGTCCGGACCTTCCCATTTGTCCAAGAGGCCGAACGTGTCTTGGCTCCTCGGCCTGCTTAAGCGAGGAGAGGAGCGATCCACAGGCTCCGGGGAATATGGCCACATCCTAGAACTGCCGGGAGGGAACGGGGGGCCACAGACGACGACCCTTCCTGTCGCCCCCCCCAACCTACGACTCCAGAAGGGGCGAGGAGTCAGCGCGACGTGCTGTGCCCGCTATTTCCACCAGAGGGCGCGCCAGGACCGCAGTTTAAAATCGTGCGCGCCACCGCGCTTCCCTAGCGCTCGAGTGCTCAGGGCACAGGTCCAGTGCCTTAAAGGGACAGCGCTCCCTGGTCTGTGGACGCCAGGCTGGGGAAAGGGAGCTTTCCTGCAAGACAACGGTTCCCAAAGTGAGGTCCAGGACCAGCTGCGTCTCCTAGAGACTAGATACAGATTCTCGAGCCCACCCCAGACCTACAGAACCCCGTTTGGGGTGGGGCCCAGCAAGCTGCGTTTTCAAAGGACCCCCAGGTACCTGCGATGCGGGACCAGTTTGAGAACCACGGCTGTGGGGTCTGATGGTCTCTAGGACCCCTAGGGTCGCGGTTGTCAGCCCGGCTGCCCATTGCTTGGAATCACCCGGGAAGCTTTAGGCCCTGTTGCTACCCCAGCCGTGCCCTGCACCATTCAGAGATTCCGAGAGCGGTTCCCATGTGCAGGCTGGGCATAGGCTCTGGGTCATTCCAGGGGCAGCCAGGGTGGGGATCGCTGCCCTAGGGTCCCTGTCAGGGCTGAGGTGTGCAGTGAAGAGCTGGCAGTCCTGATACCTAGGCAGAAATAAGACGAGATGGCCTCACAGACACATCACACCCTCTTCAGTCCCTTGAGCAGTGCTGGGAGGAAAGCTCTGTGTGCATTTTCCATGAGGATGTGGAGGCACAGAGAGGTCAAGTAACCAGCCCAAGGTCACACAGCTTGCAAGGGGCGGCGCTGGGGGGTTCAGGCAGCTGGGCTCCAAACCCCTCCCCCCATCTCTAACCATTTCCTCTTCTCTTGTCACACCCTGTGAGTCTGGGAGGGGGACGCAGAAAGCTCCCTCGACCCCATCTCAGGGCAGCATCTCTCCCTGTCATGTCTAGTTCTGCAATCACCTGTGGCCTCTCACTTTTCTCTTTAGCGACAGTGAGGGGTGGCTGGACTGGTCCAGATGAAGGCTGATTTGGAGTCAAATCTCTAATTTGAAACCATACCCCAGAGGCATCCGCCGGCTGCCTCAGGGGGACTGGCTCTGCAGGCTCCATTTGAAACCCCTTTGGCTTAAAAATACTGAAGCCTCTATTGCCATCTCATCTTGAGTTACTCAAGGGCTCACACTGAAGATGCTGGAATGGAGTGCAGAACGTTACATTCACTCAAGAGGGAAACAGGCTCTGGTGGGAGACAGATTTGGCCGAAGTGTCGGGGATACTCAGAGGGGGTGGGAGGATCCAAACCTTGTGTGTGATTGACATGTGTGTCTCTGAGTGTATGTGTGTGTGTGTACACTTAGGGGTGTGTGTGTGAATTGTGTCTGAGTGCATATAGGTGTGTGTTCCTCCTTCGGCCATTAGGTGTGTGTGGGTGTCTCTGTCTATGTGAGTGAATGTGTGAGTGTGTGCATGAATAGGTGTATCTGCGCATAGTGTGTCTGTATTGATCTGTGTTTGTACGCAGGCTGATATGCATGTATGTGTCTAGGCTGATGAGTCTTGGGACACGGTGTTTAACATTGTGGGTTTGGGAGTTTGTGAACACTTTTTGGTTTTTTGTGTTTTTTGAGACAGAGTTTTGCTCTTGTTGCCCAGGCTGGAGTGCAATGGGGAGATCCCGGCTCACTCCAACCTCTGCCTCCTGGGTTCAAGCAATTCTCCTGCCTCAGCCTCCCAAGTAGCTGGGATTACAAGCACCCTCCACCATGCCTGGCTAATTTTTGTATTTTTAGTAGAGACAGGTTTCACTATGTTGGCCAGGCTGGTCTAGAACTTCTGACCTCAGGTGATCCACCCGCCTCAGCCTCCCAAAGTGCTGGGATTACAGGTGTGAGCCATCACACCAGACTCATGAACACTTTTCTATGTGCTGCTATGAGTCTGTGTATCTGTGACTTTGTGAATGTGTGTGTGTTTGTGGCATGCCTGCACGTGTGTGTTTGTGATGGGGGAGGGTCTCTGACTATAATGTGTCTGCATGTCTGTGTCTGCATGTGCATCTGTGAGTCCTTGTATGGGCCATAACTCGTGTGTGTGTGCATGTGTGTGTCACTGAGGGAGAGAGAACAGTCTACTCAGGGTGGCAGATATGAATGAAATCCACACAGCTCACGCTTTGAATCCGATTTGGTTCCATCATTCAGGGCCCTGCCCTACCTCCGCTGCCTTCCTTCCTACCCACGTCACCTGGTTCCAGAGCCAAGAGACAAGGAGATACACTCAGCTACCTTTGAATGAGGTTTTTGGAAAAGGCCATTGCATACCTCCTCCCTGAGCCCCTGACACAGGTCCTCTGTCCCGGCGTCTGAACCTCTCCTAATGTGTCTCACCATCTCTGCTTCTCCCATATCCTTCCACCTAGCAGGTCCCTGGCAAGGTGAGGCCTCCTTGGTCTATGGGAAGCAGTCCTCCCACCCCCAGACTGGCACCCAGAGCCTCCTCCACAGACAGCTCCAGATGTTTCCTGCTGTATTAGTCTGTTGTCGCACTCCTATAAAGAACTACCTGGGGGGCTGGCCAGGCACAGTGGCTCACGCCTGTAATCCCAGCACTTTGGGAGGACGAGGCAGGCAGATCACAAGGTCAGGAGTTTGAGACCAGCCTGGCCAATATGGTGAAACCCCGTGTTTAATAAAAATACAAAAATTAGCCAGGCATGGTGGCATGCACCTGTAGTCCCAGCTACTCAGGAGGCTGAGGCAGGAGAATCGCTTGAACCCAGGAGGTGGAGGTTGCAGTGAGCCGAGATCGTGCCTCTGCACTCCAGCCTAGGCAACAGAGCAAGACTTCATTTCAAGAAAAAAAAAAAAAAAAGAACTACTTGAGACTGGGTAATTTATAAAGAAGAAAGGTTTAATTGGCTCATGGCTCTGCAAGGCTCCATAGGAAAGCTGCTGGGGAGGCCTCGGGAAACTTACAATCATGGCAGAAGGCAAGGGGTAGCAGGTACGTCCTTTATGGGCTTAACAGGAGGAGGGCAGGCGTGAGCTTCCCGTTGTCTGTTCCCAGGGGAGCTGTGTGGCCAGTGCTTCTCTGTTCTTCACTGTAATACACTGTAACCATGAGCACAGCTGCTTTTCTGAGTTCTCTGAGTCTTGAGGGTCTTGGGCAGCCCCCTACACCATCTGCCGAGCACATGCCTGGTGGTGGGCACAGCTGGAATTCAAACATGTGTCTCTCTCTCTCTCTCTTTTTTTTTTTTTTTTTTTAAGATGGAGTCTTGCTCTGTCATCCAGGCTGGATTGCAGTGGGATGATCTCAGCTCACTGCAACCTCCGCCTCCCGGTTCAAGCGATTCTCCTGCCTCAGTCCCCTGAATAGCTGGAATTACAGACAGACGCGCACTACCACGCCCGGCTAATTTTTGTATTTTTTTTAGTGGAGACGGGGCTTCACCATGTTGGTCAGGCTGGTCTTGAACTCCTGACCTCATGATCCATCCGCCTCAGCCTCCCAAAGTGCTGGAATTACAGGCATGAGCCATTGTGCCCTGCCAGATCCCTGTCTCTTTATCCCTTGTTACTTCTAAGAGGAAAACGAAGGTAGGATTTCAGCTCTGGGCAGAGGAAGGAGGTGCAGTAGGGAAAGAAAACTGTATTCAGTCTTTGCTCCCTCGTTCCAGGATCGCGAAGAGGTGCTGTCGGAAAGCTTTCCATCTTACAGTTTTCACGGAGGACATTTTCCCCTTGTGTGCCCGTAGCCTGCTCTCTCCACAGAGAATCCCCTATTCCCTGAGATAATTCAAAATCACTTCTGCTTTTTAGAAAAGTCCCCCGGTTCATTAAAAAATGAAGAAGTGTCAAAGCATTTCAGTCACACCACTGAACAGTGGCATAATTCAATCAGTGACATTTAGCGAATGATGGCTTTCACATACACACAATGTAAAGTGACATAACTGCCGTGGTGCACCAGGTGACTGGCTTCATGAATGCGGAGGCTTTCTAGCATACCACAGGCTGCCACAGGCTCACGTCTGAAGCATCAGGGTGACTTCACTGCACTGGTGAGACAGCCCAGACCCTGCGAATGCCCACGGATAGGGGCCTGATCGAGAGAGCCGCGGTCCAGCCACACATGGGATCTTCTGCAGTCATGAAAGGGTGGGCTGGAGAGTTTCCGCTGGGACCTTTTGAGTGAACACAGTGAGAAGCAAGTTTATACGCGATGACCCCCTTTATTTGATAAGAAATGAAATGCTCCCAACAACCTCTGTAAGTATCTACATAGGTGTCTGCTTTAAGATTTATTATTATTAACTTGTTTTTGAGATGGAGTTTTGCTCTGTTGCCCAGGCTGGAGTGCAGTGGCATGATCTCAGCTCACTGCAACCTCCGCCTCCCGGGTTCAAGCAATTCTCCTGCCTCAGCCTCCTGAGTAGCTGGAATTACAGGTGTGCCCGCCAACACACCTGGCTAATTTTTGTATTTTTAGAAGAGATGGGGTTTCACCATGTTGGCCAGTCTGTTCTCGAACTCCTGACCTCAGGTGATCCGCCCATCTCAGCCTCTCAGTGTTGGGACGACAGGCGTGAGCCACCGTGCCCTGCTGTAGCTCTCCTCTTACTAGGACCCAGTCATTGGATCTACAGCTCATCCCAGTTCAGCATGACCTCATCCTCACTGAGGTTCTGAGCAGACGTGAACTTTGAGGGACACAATTCAACACAGCACAGCCCTGTTCTAAAAGCTGGGGGCACAGCAGGGAGCAGAACAGATAGAAAGTCCCCGCCCGCAGAGCTGATAGTCTGTTGAGAAGACACGGACAATAAACAAGGTAAAGAAATAAGCTATGTATTGTGTCAACCTGGAAAGAAAATACATCAGAGAAAAACATTTTAATAGCAGGAAGCCATTCAGGAGTCAGCACAAAGGATTCTAACCCGGGATGCAGAGCTATGGCAAGCCACAGACGAGTGGGAGGCTTTTCTTGGCCAAAAAGGGCAGCTCATTTAAGCTGCTTGAAAGCAGAGTTTATTGATTTCAGAGGCTCAAACCCAGAGTTGGCGTGATTGGTGGAGATGCGTTACTGGGTAGGCGTTCTTTATTTTCTTTATTCTTTTTTTTTTTTTTTTTTGAGATGGAGTCTTGCTCTGTTATCCAGGCTGGAGTGCAGTGGTGTGATCTCAGCTCACTGCAACCTCCACCTCCCAGGTCCAAGCAATTCTCCTGCCTCGGCCTCCCAAAGAGCTAGGATTACCGGGGCTCTCCGACATCCCCAGCTAATTTTGTGTGTGTATTTTTAGTAAAGATGGGGTTTCACCATGTTGGCCAGGCTGGTCTTGAACTCCTGATCTCAAGTGATCCACCTGCTTTGGCCTCCCAAAGTGCTGGGACTACAGAGTGAGCCACCGCGCCCAGCCACTTCCAGATATTTTTAATGCCTATAAAGTATACATGAATATATGCAATTTTTTCCTTACTTTCTACACAAATAGTAGCATTCTATGGATAATGATCCTTACTTTGCTTTTTTCACTTAACATTATAGCTTGGACATCTTCATCAGCACATTGAGACCTTCCTCATGCTTTTTTTGGTTAAATTGTGTAGTAGTACACTGTGTGAATGAACCATATTTGAAATCAGTCCCCTGTTATTGGACATTCAGGTTGTTCTCCATCTTTTTTTTGTATTTTCTTTCTTTTAGACACAGTTTCACTCTGTCACCCAGGCTGCAGTACGGTGGTGCGATCTCAGCTCACTGCCACCTCTGTCGCCCAGGCTCAAGCAATTCTCCTGCCTCAGCCTCCCAAGTAGCTGGAATTACAGGCATGTGCCACCACGCCCAGGTAAGGTTTTTTTTTTTTTTTTTTTGAGATGGTGTCTTGCTCTGTCACCCAGGCTGTAGTGCAGTGGCGCTACCTTGGCTCACAGCATCCTCCGCCACCTGGGTTCAAGCGATTCCCCTGCCTCAGCCTCCTAAGTAGCCAGGACTAGAGGTGTGTGCCACCACGCCCAGCTAATTTTTTTGTATTTTGGGGTTTCACCATGTTGGCCAGGATGGTCTCCATCTCCTGACCTTGTGATCCACCTGCCTCAGCCTCCCAAAGTGCTGGGATTACAGGTGTGAGCCAGCACGCCTGGCTAGGACACTCTGATTTTTATTAAGTACAAAGCAGGGGGCAGGGAAGGTAGGCTGAGGTCATGGTGGTCAGTGATAGGGTCAGGGAAATCATGTGCCTTGGAGATAGGGGGCCCACGACTTTCAAGTAGCCAAGGCAAGGAGAAAACCTAATGTGTCAGCACTCTTTGCATATTTGTTAGAAATATCAAGGATATAAAGATTATGCCACTATTATTCTTATCTTCTAAGAAAAAGACAAATCCGGTGCAGAAACAGGGCGTGAGAGCAGACATGGAACGTGACCACTGAAGCACAGCGTCACTAGACACAGTTAAGCCCCTGGATGCCCGTGGGTGTCCCTGACGGCCGTCAGGCCTTGCCACAAGAGCTTGGAGAAGCGGAGTTTAATCCAAACTTCCCCAGGAAGGAGATGTCTTGGCCATTTTGGACGTCTCCTTCCCTAGCTGGCTAAACAGCAGGCGCTTTCCCAGTGCTGGCACTGCCACACAGCCAAGGCACCCTCCAGCAGCCCTTATGCGGGCGTGACAGAGGGCTTAGAGCATCTTGCCTTAGGGTCACTTTGTTCACAATATCACCTCAGTTCCATGCTTCATAACCCGATAGTCATTAGTACAATTAAAGGTTATATTGGGTATATATCTTTATAAGTAACTATAAGATTATATAAATACAATATATGCAAAAAATGTACCTATATTTCTAATTCTTTTCTAAATCAATATTTATATGGGAACAGGGTGAGGCTTCAGACCCTTGCCACGGCACTTGCGGGGGTTCCCCCCCTCAACAGCAGGTGCCTGTAGTCCCAGCTACTCGGGAGGCTGAGGCAGGAGAATTGCTTGAACCAGGAGGTGGTGGATGCAGTGAGCTGGGATCGCGCCAGTGCACTCTAGCCTGGGTGGTAAAGCAACACTGTGCCGGAGAGGAGAGGAGAGGAGGGAGGAGAGGGGGGGAGAAAGAAAAAAAGAAAGAAAGAAAAAGAAAGAAAGAAAGAAAGAGAGAAGAGAAAAAAGAATGTCTGTATAAATGGTGCCGGGGGTTTAAAAAAAGCCAGTAGACTAAATAGGGTGAGATGGACGTGGAGCATTTTAATGGACCTTGCTCTAGTCAAGGGGACGGGGGAAAAGAGGAAAGATATCCAAATGATTAATTTTTCTTTTCAACCTCCAAGCTAAAAACCTTTCCCCAGAGTGAGTGGGTGGCTCTGAAAGATGGCCTCATTCCTACGGAAATCTTGTTTCAGTTGGAAAGAGATCTCGCTACTCCTGGACCAAACTTTCTGTTTCTAATTAGAATGACCCCTGGGTCCTTACGTCCTAAGTAGCCTATTTCATTTAGGGTTTAAATGTATGTGATTCTTTTTTTGTTTGTTTCTGAGACACAGTCTCGCTGTGTTGCTCAGGCTGGAGTGCAGTGGTGCGATCTTGGCTCACTGCAACCTCCGGGTTCTGGGTTCAAGCGTTTCTCCTGCCTCAGCCTCCCGAGTAGCTGGGATTACAGGGATGAGCCACCACGCCCAGCTGATTTTGTATTTTTGGTAGAGACAGGGTTTCGTCATGTTGGCCAGGCTGGTCTCGTAAATCTATGTGCTTCTTATTTCCTTTGTGTGACATCTTCCAAGCCCACAATATGATTTTCCCCATAACAAGAAAATATGATTTTTCCCATAACACAACGTAAACTGTTTATTACATTTATTAAATTTGGTTTACCAGTTGTCTTTCTCCTGTGTTACATCTTCAAGTAGATATTTATAACTTTTGCCAAACAGAAATTACATTTAGAATTCAAAAACTATGATGCATACCTTCTTTTTTTAAAAAAATAGACTCATTCATTCTCTCTTTTTTTTTTTCCCTTTGGCCAAGAATTTCAGACAAAAATCAGGCACTGTCACCAGAAGACTGCTGACCACGTGACGTCTGCCAGGCATCAGGAAGACGACCAGCCTCCCTAACGAATGAAAGAAACTTCACCTGACCGTGTTTGGTACATTTCGTTTGGGAGTCTTTTAAAAAATGGGTACTTGTACTACTGGGTTCAGGTTTTCAGCTGTGGAATATTCTAGAAAAAACAGCGATAACACTTATTTCACCGCTCTAACCCTGAATGTGTAGCTGTGTTTATTTAAAAAACATTTTTTTACCATTGTAGAACATGTAACATGCACCCAGAAACGTGCCCTAAACACAGACATATAATTTGGCAAATGATTACAGAGAAAGTGCCACGTTACTGTCATCGCATCTAGAAATCATCGTCCTCCCGGAAGCCCCTCATGTGCTCTGCCCATCCTAAAACCCCTCCCTGCCCCAGGGATATTATTTATCCCATTTTGAGAAGAACACTGCCTTGCTTTTCTTTAGATAACTATGCCTATTAACAAATTACGAATTTCTGAACACAGTAGATTTGATTACTTTTGAATCTTATTTGAATGCAGTTTTATTGGTGGATTGTTTTTGGGGGGTGTGTGTGTGTGTTTTAGAAAAAATACATTTAGAAAAGAAAGAAGACGTGGGGCCTCTCTGTTTCCTGGCCACAACTCCTCGCTTGGAATGTTGTTTCCTTACTGCAGAGTGGAGACAGCTGCCGGCGTTTTTTTCTGTCTGCAGGAAACTCAGCGCCTGCCGCTGTGGCTGTAACCCGAGCCCCAGCTCAGATGAGAACAGGTCTCTTCTCCCGCCAAATAATCCTAGGCTTTACTGGTTATTTCCAGAGAGGGAGAGAGAAAGAACTCAGAATGGCACAGGATAGAGTTGCTGTGTTTGTGGAATAAAAGCACTGGGTTTTATGTTCTTAATTTTTTTTCTTTTTTTTTTGAGACTTGGGAGATCCTCCTGCCTTAGCCTACCAAGTAGCTGGGACCACCGGCACACGCCGCCATGCCTGGCTAATTTTTGTATTTTTTTTTTTTTTTGGTAGCGATGGGGTTTCGCTGTGGTGCCCAGGCTGGTGTTGAACTTTTCTGCCTAAGGAATCCACTCACCTTGGCCTCCTAAAGTGCTGGGATTACAGGTGTGAGCCACCGTGTCCTGACAACACTGTGCCTTTTGAAAAGCATCGTATTTCCAACAAGTTAAGAAGTCACACCTGAATCCAAGCAACGTAGATGTCTGCAGGGCCCTTCCCAGCTCTTCATTTGAAATACCAGAAAATGGAAAACAACCTGCATAGCCATCCACAGGGGGACTAAGTAATTAACCTACGGCCGTGGTGGTCACACGTGATTGATCATGAGCCACGATAAGAAATACATTTTGCTATGATCTGGGAGACACACACACACACACACACACACACACACACACACACACGTGTATATATAATAGGAAAGCCGGGCACAGTGGCTCATGCCTATAATCCCAGCACTTTGGGAGGCTGAGGCGGGTGGATCACCTGAGGTTGGGAGTTGGAGAACTTCCTGGCCAACATGGTGAAACCCTGTCTCTACTAAAATACAAAAATTTGCTGGACATGATGACACGTGCCTGTAATCCTAGCTATTTGGGAGGCTGAGGCAGGAGAATTGCTTGAACCTGGGAGCTGGAGGTTGTAGGGAGCTTAGATCGTGCCATTGCACTCCAGCCTGGGGCACAAGAGCAAAACTCTGTCTCACAAAAGACAAAGGCCCAGCACAGTGGCTCACGCCTGTAATCCCAGCACTTTGGGAGGCTGAGGCGGGTGGATCACGAGGTTAGGAGTTTGAGATCAGCCTGGCCAACATGGTGAAACCCCGTCTCTACTAAAGATACAAAAAAAAAAAAAATAAATAAGCTAGGCGTGATGGCACGAGCCTATATCCTAGCTACTCAGGAGGCTGAGGGAGGAGAATTGCTTGAACCTGGGAGGCAGAGGTTGGAGTGAGCTGAGATCATGCCACTGCACTCCAGCCTGGGAGACAAGCGAGACTCTGTCTCAGAAGCACGAAGGAGCTCTCGCAGAACAAATTGGACAGAGCAAGCTAGGGTGAGTCACAGAACCACGAAGGTGGGTTGTTACAGCTGACTCAAGAGGAAACATCTAGGCGGGACCCCAGAGCCCCCTGGACTTTCTTTGGGTTCAGTGTTTATAGAAATGTTGTGGGTTCTCATTGAAAATACACAGCAGGACAAAATAAAAACCTAAAGGTGAAACAGCGGAAGAGGATGGAAGGAGAACCCTATACTGGAAGTGCAGAGATGGGTGGGAGGGTTGGGGCTGCAGGGATGCTTTGTCATGGAAACCACAGTGCCAAGTTGTTGCCTTGGAAACCACAGTACAGAGTGTTGTCATGGAAACCACTGTAATGATTCCTCTTAAGGGTCCTTCAACTATTTTTAAATCTGCTAGCAATCACCGTGGCTCTTTAATGAGCTAGCAAGCAGGCAGCTGATACCACTTCTCTCTCCCTCACACACACACACACACACACACACACACACACACACACACACACACATAGTGTCACATTTATAATATTTAGGCTGATGCAAAATTAATTGCAGTTTTTGCCATTGAAAGTGGCAAAACTATAGTCCCAGCTACTTGAGAGGCTGAGGCAGGAGAATTGCTTGAACCTGGGAGGCAGAGGTTACAGTGAGCCGAAATCATGCCACTGCACTCCAGCCTGGGAGACAGAGTGAGACTCTGTCTCAAAAAAAATAAAATAAAATAATGGCAAAAAAACAGCAATTACTTTTGCACCAACCTAATATATATTTACATATTCCTTTTTATATAAAAATAAAATTTTGCTGTCTTAAATATCTCAAGTATTTTGGAATGCATTTTCTGTGTGTGTGTGTGTGTGTGTGTGTGTGTGTGTGTGTGTGTGTGTACATACACACAATATTGTTTTATGTGCATTTATTTAAAATTCTTTTTGAGACCAGAACTTGCCTAGTCCCTCAGGCTGGAGTGTTGTGCCATGATGCTTGCTTACTGCAGCCTCGATCTCCCAGGCTCAAGTGATCCTCCCACCTCAGTCTCCCGAGCATCTGAGACTATAGGGATGTGCCACCATGCCTACCTAATTTTTATGTTTTTTAAGAGATGGAGTCTTGCTATGTTGCCCAGGCTGGTCTTGAACGCCTGGTCTCAAGCAATCCACCTGCCTTGGCTTCCCAAAATGCTGGGATTACAGGCATGAGCCACCACGCCAGGCCTATTTTAAATATTTTTATGGCTTAATTTTTATTTACAGTTATTCATTTTCTTCTTCTTACCCATTAAAACCACATAGGGCTGAGCATGGTGGCTTATGCCTGTAATCTCAGCACTTTGGGAGGCCAAGGTGGACGGATCACAAGGTCGGAAGTTCAAGACCAATCTGGCCAACGTGGTGAAACTGCATCTCTACTAAAAATACAAAAATTAGCTGGGCATGGTGGTGTGTGCCTGTAGTCTCAGCTACTCAGGAGGCTGAGGCAGAAGAATCATTTGAACCCAGGAGGGGGAGGTTGCGGTGAGCCGAGATTGCGCCATTGCCCTCCAGCCTGGGTGACAGGGCGACTCTTGGTCTCAAAAAAACATAAAACAAAATACATATTGCTTTCTTCACCCCCGTACTTCACTGAGGCAGTTTCATTCAAAAGCTTCATTTTTGCCTTTGATGCCTCTGCCTTCTGAACATTCTTAGATCCACTTGGGAAATCTCAGTTTCCGGGACCTCAGATGTTTCCCTTCTGCTTTTTCTGTGTTCTGTTATTTGTGATATAGTTGGTCAAATTCAAATATGATGCTGGCTGTGGAAAATTTTATTCCAAGCTGCATTTACCATTTCCAAACCTCACATTTTGAACTGTTACTATAAATAAAACCTTTCCGTTTATTTTTTAAATGGTGGCATAGGCCAGGCACAGTGGCTTATGCCTGTCGTCCCAGCACTTTGGAAGGCTGAGGACTGTTTGAGGCCGGGAGTAGAGGATCACCCTAGGTGACAGAGTGAGGCCTGTCTCTACTAAAAACTTAAAAAATTGACCAGGCGCAGTGGCTCACGCCTGTAATCCCAGCACTTTGGGAGGCTGAGGCGAGTGGATCACAAGGTCAAGAGATCGAGACCATCCTGGTCAACATGGTGAAACCCCGTCTCTACTAAAAATACAAAAAAGTAGCTGGGCATGGTGGCGCATGCCTGTAATCCCAGCTACTCAGGAGGCTGAGGCAGGAGAATTGCCTGAACCCAGGAGGCGGAGGTTGCGGTGAGCCAAGATCGCGCCATTGCACTCCAGCCTGGGTAACAAGAGCGAAACTCCGTCTCAAAAAAAAAAGAAAAAAGAAAAATTAGCCCGGCATGGTGGCACATGCCTGTAGTCCCAGCTACTTGGGAGGCTGAGTCAGGAGGATCCCTTGAGCCCAGGAGATGAAGGCTGCGGTGAGCTATGATTGAGCCACTGCACTCTAGCCTGGGTGACAGAGTGAGACTCTATCTCATAAAATAAAATAAATTGTGGAATATTCCAAACTCAGGGTCAAGAATAGAGAATTGACTGGCCATGGTGGCTTCATGCCTATAATTCAAAACTTTGGGAGGCTGAGACAGGAGGATCACTTGAGCCAGGAGTTGGAGACCATCTTACCCAACATAGTAAGAGCCTGTCCCTACAAAAAAAAATGTTAAAAATTAGCTGGGCATGATGGTGAGCCGAGATGGCACCACTGCGCTCCAGCCTGGGTAACAAAGGGAGATTCTGTCTCAAAAAAAAAGAAAAAAAAGACCTGGCCAGGTCTGGTTTGCTCAGACTCTACACATCCCAAAGATCTTTGATCATCTCCTAGGAAGCAAGCTCTAAGCCCTTGGAGGAGCCTGTGCTAACAGTGTGACCTGCGGTGGAGGCCTTGGGCCACATGGCGCCAGTTCGTCTGAGACTGAGTAAGTAAAGCCAGTCACACAGGTGCTCAATGCCTATGGGATCAACCCTCTCCCCTTCAAAAAAACTCTGGACATCAGCTGGATGCGGTGGCTCATGCCTGTAACCCCAGCACTTTGGGAGGCTGAGGCAGGCAGATGACGAGGTCAGGAGATCGAGACCATCCTGGCTAACACGGTGAAAACCTGTCATTTATTCTGATTGCTCAGTGTCTTATTATGTGGACAGACCACAATTTATTCTTCTGTGAATTGGCATT